TTGGAAACAGAATTTTTGCAGATATAGGCAAGTAAAGATGAGGTCATTAAGGCAGGCCCTAACCTAGTGACTGGTATCTTTTAAAAAAGAGGGAAACACCAAGCAAAGACACAGACACAGAGAGAGAACGCCATGTGATGATGGAGGCAGAGACAGGAGAGATGCGGCTACAAGACAAGGAACACCAAGGATTGATGGCCACCACCCAAAGTTAGGAAGAGCCAAGGAAAGAGTCTCCCTTACGGGTTTCAGGTGCAGCATGGCCCTGCCAACACCTAGACTTTGGACTCCCAGCCTCTAGAACTGTGAGAGAATAAATTTCTCTTGTTTAAAGTCACCAAATTTGTGGTACTTTGTTACAGCAGCCCTAGGAAACTAATACCTTTACATTTTAAATATCTATTGAATTCTTTTCCCTCTTTCTTTATCCCCAATCATTGCCTCGTCATCTCTAATATGCCCTTTAAAGCAACTACACTAATCTTCCTTAAAAATAAATCTAAACACTGAACTCTCTGCTTAATATTACTCAACGGGTCCCCACTGCCTAAAGAATAGTCTAAATTCCTTGGCTTGGCCTTCAACCTCCTTCATAATTTAGACGTTGCCTCCCTCTCCCACCACGTGCCTGCTACTTCCCCATGTATACGTCACACATCAGCCTTTTCAAGTTCTTGCTTCATGACTTTTTTGCCCTAGGCCTTTGCGTGTCACACTTCTGCATGTGATAGCATCTACATGTTGTCCACCCAATGGACTCTGGCTTTTCTGTCAATACTTAATTCAGATGTGACCTTTTCTAGAAGTCTTTCCTAACCCTTTGTCCTCAATCCAGCCAGAATTAGTTATTTCCTCCATTGTGTTTCCATAGCACCTATACATACATCTCTTTTAGAAATACATGATATCCTGCATTGCTTGTTTGTAGGTACCACCCTCACTAGATTATGAAGTCCTTGAAGACAGAGATGTGCCTCATTCATTTCTATATCCTCAGGACCTATACACTTGGGTCATATTAGGTATTTAATAAATATTTGTTGAGTGAGTAAATAAATGAGATAATGAATAAATGATTTTCCAGGAGTAATCAAAGAAATCCACATTCAAGAAGAATTTCACGTGAGAAACATTTAACAGAGTTTATTTTCCACCTGGGGTCACAGAAACCTGGGTTTTTAAACTCTGTAAAAATCTAAATTTGCCTTTGATATAGGTCACTAGTGATGAGAAAAATCAAACCCAATTTCATCCACAATTCCTGACCTCTTAAATCATATAAATGAATGACGCCTACTCACCTATGATGTCCTAGAATGATACTCACCCTGGTATGTAATCTGTTTGGAAATTTCTGGAACAAAAGAGCAGAGACTAGGTATGCTTTTACTCATCCAACATTTGTTGTGTGTTTAATATGTACGCTTCCTAGGTGAATCAGACGTGGTTCTGCCTTCAGAGAAGGGAGACTCTTTCACTTTGTGTAATACCTGGAAGAGTGCCCCAGTAACAGCTGGCGGTGGTACTTTTGCTCACTGTGTAGAACTCACTTGTTCCAGACCAACACAAAAGGGGCTATTTTTTCCTGGGTTCTTTTCTAGAAATTGGGTCGCTGGTATTTTTAGACACAATTAAGTAGTTATTCCTTAATCATTTTCAATAGTTTTCATAATTTTCTTATCCAACTATGGAGTCATCTGACATGAGAAAAAATACTTTCTTTTAAGTAACAATAAATTTCCCAAGAAAGGAAAAATAGCTCCTGGTGTTTGTACACGGCAGGCACTTTGGAGGGCTCAAGAAACTCTGACATCAAATGCTTTTTAGATGAGTTTTCCATTTACGAATTGATGACAACCTCATTTTAGCCCATTCCTTCCACTTCAGCCCTTAAACCTGGGCTGACCCACTCCAGGATGGTGAGGTAAATAACTCCGCTGACACTCTCCAGTCAACCTGCTAACGCAAAGAACATGCACCAGCATTCTAGACAACAGCCCTAGACCGCGCCGCTTGCCCTCCTCTTCACTGCGGTCCACAGCCAGTTTTGACTTCTCCAGTCAGATCCTGGCTCTGAGCCCTTCCTTCACTCCCACAGTTGGGCAGACCTGATTCTCCGTCACTTTCCCAGACAGTTCCTGGTTCAGCTTGTTTCTTTGTTTCTGGCCCCGAGAGGAAAATGTCCTGCTCTAAACCAACTTCTCTGGAACCCACTGGCAGGATGTGACCTTGGGCATACTGCTACTTTCCCCTTTCCCTGGACCTCACTTCTATTCCTTCTTGTAAGTATTTTTCTTTCACTGACATACAGTGATCCTGAGATCAAATAGCTCTATCACACAGTTTTATTTAGATACAAATGGATTTCTGATAAAGGAGTCAGGTCACTTTGCCCATAAAGTTATATAAATGGTAAACAAAACAGTAAATAAATGTTATGTGATTTTATCCAAGCACCTGCTCCTGCTTCTGGCAGAGCTGAGACAGCAGATATGCCATTTGTCTGGAGCTCTTTAGCTTCACTGCACAATGTAGTCATTCAACAAATATTATTGTGTATCTATAGGGGGTGCTGTGCTATGCTCTGAGAACTCAGTGATGGACAAGACATATGTGATCCTCATCCTCTGCAATCACAATATAATGGCAGAGAGTGACAATTGAATCATTTAGATACTAAGTAGGAGGTAAGGCATCAGGCATCTGCTCTAGTTTTCCAAGGTTCCTGGAAACTTCTAGAAGTTGTGAAGGAGCCAAAGTGTGGGGTGTCCTCTACCATTCCCTTTAAATGTCCTTCACAGACTGACTTGTTCAGATATTGAAATCTGTCTAGAGGAGAATGACCAGAATGAAGAGAAGAGGCAGAATCTGCCTGAATGAGGAGGTGTCGCAAGCACTAGGAATATTTATCCTGGAGGAGAGTGGATATAAACACACAATAGATGTGAGCTGAAGGGCTCCTGTCTGAAAGGATGAAGGCCCCTATTTCACATGATTGCAGAGGCAGAATCAGAACTTGATTGTATGTTATAAAGAGGTAGATTTCGTTCAATATAAATAGAAATATTTTGACAATTCAAGCTTAATAACAGCATTTCAATAGCTGCTACCTATTGGTGCCTGTGATATGTCAGACACCATGCTAGATGCTTTATGTATTTGATTAAATTTGGGCTTTCAGTTCAAAATAACAAACTGATCACACACGTGAACCCCATTGAAGTAACAGGAAAGAATTACAAAAAAGAATAAATTCACAACAGCTCTGAGAGCAAGAGAGTCTGGAAATGGATGAGTGGAGTGGATATTTCAGTGAATTTCTAGGGGACACAAAGCAGGAAGGATCATAAGGATGATGCACCAGAACACAGGAAGCTGACAGCAGAACGCTCTCCAGAGAGGGCTGCAGTGGGCGAGGGAGCTACCCTCCCGAATGGAGACTCAGAGTAGGTCCAAGCTCTGAATTAGCAGATACTGAGAGTGGAAGAGAGATGTGGGGCCATAACTAGCACAGTTAAGCTCCTGAACAGGGGAGTCAGTTACTCAAATACCTCTCTCTGTTCCTACCACCAGTCCTTAAGGACACAGAGCAATTGGCAGTAGCAGTATTTTCCCCCAGCACAAACCCTGAGCCCTGCTCTTCAAGAAAGAGTCCGCTTGGAGAGGCCAGGCCTCTCAGTGGGAGTTGCTGCCTATCTTAGAATAAATCTGTCCTTCTTTTACCATAAGGATGGAGGTGGGGATGAGTCTGCCTGTCTGCTGCCCATAAACATACCCGACGTGTTAATCTTTCACTCAACATGCTCTGCACAAGTACGTAGAGCTCAAGGCCAGCCCTCATCATTTGGGAACACAGGTACTGGAGAAATGGTAGAGGAAACCTATGACAGTGTCTCTATTAATTGACCTAGTCTTTCTTTCATAAATACAAAGGAAATCCAGGATCACAAGCTTTTTGAGGAAAATCAACAGGTTAAAAAAGAAAGACCAAGATGAGAAAACAAAACAAGAAACTAGTTCAAAACAAACTCTAAAAAAAAGAAAATCTGACCTTGGAGGAAACAGAATATTCAGGAAAAGAAGGAAAATTTGAAATGGTTCTTAATATCTTCAGGTATCTGTGAAGATACTGCACTAATGGAGCATGATGGGCTGCTGAAAACGAGGCATTCAGAAAATAATTGATTGGAAATTAAAAATGTGATTTCTGCATTAAAAATTTAGTAGTAGGGCTGGATGATAAAATTAAACTGTCAAGAACATGGAACAAAAGAAAAAGGATACAAAACATGAGAGAAAAGACATGAAGCACCAAACCAGTGTATCAGACTGAAGAACTGAACCCAGTAAATGAAAAGAGTACATCACTGAGGAAGGAAAAAAACAAATTTCCCCAAGCCAAAAAAAAAGACCAGATCTTCAGAATGAAATGTGTCCCCCAAAAGCTAAGCAGAAGGAATGAAAAAAGATATGTATACAGATACATCGGTGTAAAATTTCACTAAGGATAAAGAAACACTCCTAAAAGCTGCCATAAAGAAAAATAAAGCCCACATAAATAGATGAACTACAAAGGAACAAATATCAGGTCAACTGTAGACATGGTATCATCAATATTGGAAGCTAGAATACAATCTAGCAAGGCCTCCAAGGTGCTGAGAAAATGGAATCTGTGACACTACATCAAGTGGCACGGCTGTCCCAAGAGATGGATGGAGAGAGGCAGCAGACACAAGCGAAGCACCTGGGTCCCTCCATGTAGATAGAAGGTACAACTCACAGTCACACAGCACACAGGCCAGCAGCACACCCAGTCAGAGTGCACACTCTCTGGCCTGCACATCTTCCTGGAGGCACACAGCTGCTGCTCTACCACCTGGTTCAGGTGAGCATTCCATTCAAAAGCTCTATTTGGTGTTTTTTTTGTACTGAACCCTATTCCCCACTCTGGTTTCTTTCCTGCCAGCCCACCAGGAGTGAGTAACTTGTTATGACTTCAACACGTTCCAGAATGTTTATTGCAGACAGAGCAAATCCAAGGTCACTCCCCCAAAGTCATTCTCCAGGTGTGCTTGCCCTATGGCAGATCCACATGTGAGGCCTCCTTGAAGGCAGTTCCTGCTCCAGTCAGTCACCAAGAGGACTAAATTCCTTCCAGAACAGCAGGGAGTCAGAGTTTATCACAGTCTCTCTGAAAAAATAAAAAGACTTGAGAATTTACTTGAAAATTGAAAAATGAAGCTAAAAAGGAAGAATTTAAGAAAAAAAATGTAGGGCTGGCTCTGTAGCTGAGTGGTTAAGTTCACACACTCCATTTTGGCGGCCTAGGGTTTCGCCGGTTCAGATCCTGGAGAGGGACATGGCATCACTCATCAGGCCATGCTGAGGTGGCATCCCATGCCACAACTAGGAGGACCCACTACTAAAAAAAAATATACAACTATATACTGGAGGGATTTGGGGACAAAAAAAGCAGAAAAAAAAGAAGATAGGCAACAGTTGTTAGCTCAGGTACCAATCTTAAAAAAAAAAAAATGGATGTGGGGAGGTCTATGAAAATAATAGAATTATTCCAAGGATATAATGAAAAGACATATTAGATGACAATTTTACAGAGACTTTATAAAACAATTGTCCCAAATTAGAATTTGAAGTCAAAGGACTCCGAGATGATTATTTCTAAGAAAAAAATGGATTTCACTCAATGCATAGTTTTTAAAACCTGGAAGGATCTAATAATTTAATAAGGAAGTCATTTGTTTCTCTCAACAAAAAAAAAGAAAGAATTAGAAATTCCAGGAAAAACAAACAAATGAGAAGATCCCAGTGCAAAGACGAAGCAAACTAAAATGGCATGGTGAAAAAAAAGAGGAGAATTGACTTGGCCTGGGAACTTGAACTTTCTGCTTTCAACTGCACAGAGTTAGTGCATATAAGCTCATTAGTACACGGTTCAGCAAAAAGTGAAAAATGCATAACTATAATATTGGTGGTGACATTTTATTTTTTGGAGTCGATCTGTAGACAAAACATGAGAGACAGAATTATAGGTACAGAACAGAATTCAAATGGCATAATCTTGTAAAAATGATATACTGTGATTGACGCAGAAGAAGGAAGATCATGCATCAGCTCTGAGAGGCCCACTTACCCAGGGATGACTGTGTCAGGGCTGCTGACCCAGAAATACATATTTGAGTATATGGTTTAGTTTATCCTACAATTCCTTATGAAATGCCCTCCGCACGCCGAGCCTGGCTCTGGGTCCTGAGATACAATGCCGCACACGTCTCCATTGCTGACAGGCAGGTCTCCTCATGGGATAATGTGGAGGAGGGTGCAGATGACTGACATTCACCATCTCTGACGGTCGGGAAGTAGGAGGTCACTCATCTACAATTCTGGTAATAACCAAAACAAGAAGTAAAGTTAGAAATGGTTCAAAGTGCTTGCCTTTAGGGAGTTAGACTGGTCGGCGAGGCAGCAAAGTTTAAAAGACTAGTTTTTCATTTACCTCAATTTGTACTACTTTGAACTTTTCTAGGTACAAGGGATATTTTAACAATAATTTTTTTAAAAAAACAATATTGCTGTTCCTAACCAGCATGATCAGGCTGGCTTGCACTAGTCCTAAATGCTGCACAGAAGACCTAATGTCAGGGCTTTCTGACTCAAAATTCAGTGCAAAGAATGTGAAATGGTACAGCTGGGAAGCATTCGCTTCAATATACGCTGAGTAGATTTTGGTCCCATAATGGTACATCTGGATATTTTAATAGTGGTAGCATATGAAACAAGCTCTATAAATATACTGTTACTCTTTCTGCTTCATTTATTGCTGACTTTTCATTTTTTAAGCAGTATATATTTTTAAAAAGCACTGTGAAAAACTACTTAAGAAAGTACACACTCGTCTATATGTGAAAAACAAATTTTTAGGTAGTTTAACCCTTCTTGTAACCCAAATCCAACAGTATGTTGGAAACAACTGTGTGTAACAACAGTCTTTGCAGAGGTGGATCCAGAGTCCCATTTAGCCTGACCCCTTCCAGTCTCTCTCATCTTTCTCTCCCAAAGGACCTCCTGCCGGGCCCTTCCTACTTGGAACCCTGAACCCTGAGGGAGCAGAGGCGGGGTCAGGAAGTAGGCGGAGGATTGGAAAGGGGTCAGTTTCAGGATAGGGTGGTGCTGAGGGACAGCCAGGGGCACGGACACCGGCTAGCTCTGGGCTGGAAAGGGACTCTCAGGGCAGCACAGGTAAGCTTTGAGGGGAGCGGTGAGGGGCAGGGCAGAGTGGAGCGGGTCTGCTCCAGAGGCACTGGGAGAGCTGGCGTGGAGCTCAGGGCAGGGAACAGAGGGCCCCAAAGGGAAGGGCCGGAGGGCCCACAAGGCAGGGGTCTGGTGAAGGAGAAAGGGAGGGCGGTGCCGCCGAGGCTTCCTGGTGCGAGAGATGAATTCCCGTGATCTCAGCAGACATCGCTCAGGACAGGGTGGGTGGCAAGGGGCCTGCCTGTGGAGGACGTGTCATCCATCTTGGCGGGCTTCGGCCATGTGGTGTAGGAACCAAGCCCACACAGGGACTCAGGGACATGGAATGGAGATTCTGTTTAATGAACTCGGAGCCTTAAAGAATCTGATCAACGAAGCAGAAAAACCACTCGAGGACCACGCCCGACCTCGGGGGTGCTCAGTTATGTCTGCTCTGCTGCCTCTGCTCTCATCCTTAGAGCTGATACACTCAAGTAGTCCTTTCTGCCTCCACCGCAGTCTGTCCCTAGACACAGGTCGGGGTCAGAGCTCCCGGGTACTAAAGAAACACAGGGGGAAAATGCATCTGTAGGCGACCGTCTGAATCAGAACCATCCTGATTTCAGACCAAGGAGCCGCCTCCACTGGCCCAGGTTTTCAGAACTCCTCTTCTTAACCCTGCCGTCTAGGGAAGGTGACAGCTGCCAAGCGCTATTAATTCTAGAATTGTCATCAATCCTTTCACCTGCAGAGCTCAAACGCAAGGAACCATGGACCGCTAATTGCCTTCCTTCTGCAGTGCAGGAAGAAAGACGTCAGTTTCTTTCCACCCTGAGCATCCTGAGCGCGGGTGTAGCAGCCACAGGCTTTGGAAAGAGACTGACCCAGGCTGGAATCCCAACTTCACCATTTTCTAGCTGTGCAGACTGGAACAGTTACTTAATCTCTTGGAGCTTCAATTTTTAAAAATTGACAACTTGAGATTATTAACAACTACTTGCACTGGGTTGTAGTGAGAATTAGATGAAATAATATGCCTGGAGTACCCAATTCAGAGTCTGGCACATTGTACAGAAACATACTCATCTTTGTTCTCCTGTGCCTAGACGTAGTTGGGGGTGAGTGACAGTGTCCTTGTCCTCATTTCCTGGTAGAAAACGCTGGGACTGCAGGATCCAGCTGCTTCCCAGAGCCCTCAGGCAGGCCCACAGCCTCCTGTCACTACCTGCACGTGCTGGGGTATGGTTTTCAGGCAAATCCTCCCTTCTTTCTGTTTACGTGATAAGAATGCTGCAAGCAAGTGGCAGTCTCTGTCTCCTGTCACACCTGCACTGAGTTGCCATGTTCCCTGACTCTGGGCGGGGATGTAGCTGGATGACCAGCGCCCACTAAGTCAGTGTTAAGGCTGGGTCTCAAACCAGCCTCCAGACTAGCTCCCCCGCATTGCTCTATGCTCCCTCACCAACCCAGCAGAGCCTGTACATCAAAACCTCAATCGCAATTGCTCCCTTCCTGCCCTCAGCCCATGTCTGCTTCAGCTGCTGGAGAAGCTCCCAGACATGATAGCAAATAAATCTTCAGGGCCATTCCAGCCTCGTACTGAAGATCAGCATCCCAGACTCAGAGAGGCCTGGGCCCCAGGCACATTAAAGGCTCTGGGAAGCCTGCTTTTCCTCTTCTCAGCTGTTGTGTTGTTCTATTCTTTAGAGTTCCTAGGGGCTGAAAAACATACTCATATTAACAACACTGATAGTTTAAACATAGCATAGTCATTGAGAAGACAGACTTTAAATTTGAATAGAACTAGATTTGAATTTAGCACAATTTACCAGCTGTGTGACCTTGAGCCAGTTACTTACATTTATATTCTCAATCAAAAATGAAAATGATAGTATTCTATAGCATACAGTTTGCATCATTTAGTTGCAAGTAAAGAAACCTGAGGCAAGTGGCTTAAACAAACAGGAATAGTTTTCCTCACTTAAGAGCTCTGGAAGTGGGAGCTCATGGCGTTGGTTCAGTGCCTCAATAATATCTCCCCGATTCTTTCTTTCCCTCATTCTTATTGCCTGAGGCTTACAAATTGGCTGCTATAGCTCCAAATATCACATTTATATTCAAGGCAGCTACATCTTTCCTCTTAACAGGAAAATAGAAGACTTCTCAGTAGTCCCTGTACTGGATTTCCCCTTAGATCCTATCAGCCAGAAGCAGGGCACACAGCAAGTCTTACAACAAGGGACCTGGGAAATCGGGGAATAGGGTTGTTATTATTGCCTTAGACCAACCAGAATTCATATCCTGGAGCTAGGCACACTGCAGCTCAGAAAAAAAAAAAAATTCAGGGTTTAGTTACCAAGTAAGAGTTAGGTATGGCTGAAGGGTAGGTAACCAATGGGGTTTGCTTTGACACAGCATTGTAGTCGGTATTAAATGTAATAATATATGTAAAGTGCTTAGCACAATGCCAGACTTATAAGTAATTTTTAATAAATTATGGCCATTATTATCAATAAAACCTAAGTTGCCAAAATTGGTTGGCCATGCCCCATATGTAATTGAATGTAGTACTTACAAAATTATAAAATTGATAGCAGAATTAAGCTCTACTGATTTCTCAAAGTGTCCCCCCACTCCCACCAGCTCAGGACCTGCTGTCTTTCATGGCACAGATATTTATTAAGTCCACCTTTGTGCCAGGTGCAAGGCCAGGAAGAAGTGACAAGACTGCTCCTTGACTCCATGGGGTTCCCAGGCCTCAGATTTAATTTCTATGCCTTTTATACCCATGTTCCCCCTGCTGCGACCCCAGGCCCGAGCTCCTGCAGCCCCATGGATCTGTCTCTTCTTTCTGCAAAATTGGAAACCAGGAGGATGGTTTTAACTTGGTTCAGGACAGCACAGTGAACTGTGGCCAAGCCCACAACTTCCTTTTGGATTTTGAGATCACATGAACATAAATGAGGATGAAGCAGGCACCCAAAGAGCTGAGGGAGCTCCTCCCAAAGGTCTCACTTCTCAGGGGCACCAAACCAAGAGTCCCCCCGATTCTGTCATCTCATCGTCACTGGCTTCAAAAGTTTGCTGAGCATGGGCTGTGTGCAAGCTGGCCTTCCTGTGTTGAACCCCAAGAACACTTTATATTCAGAGGCCCTGTTTCAAAGCATCTCTTCATTTTCAGCAGCAGTGAGGTCTCAAGAAGCCCTCATTATCCTCGATTTATTAACAAAGGTGCTCAGACCCGTAAAGCGGGCTGTTCAGAGCGCCAGGCCCTGTGGTGGGCAATTGATACACATTCTCTCATTTAAGCCTTGTGCACTGCAGCTCGTGGTCTTATCTCTAGTTGACAGACGACACATCTGAAGCTGGAAAGGGTAATTTACCTAAGGCCACACAGAAGGTCGATGGCAGAGCCACAGCTGGAACCCAAGCCTCCAATTTCCAATCCCAAATACTGCCTCCTGGGCCATGCAGTCCCTCACCACATGCATTTTTTTAGGATAAGATAACTGGGACAAATGTTTTTATGCAATCTAAGTAAAAGTTTTCTAAAGGAAGATACTATTACTTAAGCTATAATTGTGGATTTCAATTGCCTATGTTGTCCGAAATTGCATTTATAGAAATTACAAAATTGCATAAGTGCCTTACTTGTGCTGCAATTGTATTTTCTTTCCCTTCCCTTCTCCCTGCCAAGTCGCACCTCACCACCATCACCCCCAATTTGTCCTCCTCTTTGCCGCGGGAGAGGAAGCTATTGGAGGTGGTGTTAAAACAAGCTCGGCAAGAGACTGCAAAGAATCACCAAAGTGGTGCGAGCATTAGTCCCAAGCGCTGGCCGCCTCATAACTTCTTCCACAGGGAGAGACCCTGGAAGTACCAAGGACACATCAGGAAGAACGGTGTGGAGACGGAGGTCAAGAATAAGGATGGAGATGGTCAATAGGCCGAACACTGGCCAAGGGTCAAAATCCTAAGTCAGGTAAATATTAGAAGGAAATGAAACAGAACACATCCTGAAATTAGATGGGGCAGACCCCAGCTTCCCTTCACGTTGTTCCTGATGCAGAGATTACAAGAGTGCGAGCTCCCTTGGAGCTTGGGAGGGTTAAAGGAGGCAGTCGGGGGTGGAAGGAGGGAGGGGAACCAATTAACTGAGTACTTACTAGAGTTCCAGGCATTTAATAAGCGTTAATTTATAGAATCCTTAATTTTTCAAGGCTAGTATAATTAACCAAATTAGAGAAGACTGGAGGCTCCTAGAGGCCTAATAATTTACCCAATACTTTAAGTGGCGGGATTCACCTCAGGGGTGTCTGACCCAAGCCAGCTCTCTGAATTGCTGTAATCTACAGCCTCCTTTGTGCAGTTGATGGTTGGGTCTAAGGGTAGGACTTTACACTGACCTCCCTTGCAGTTTACTTTGTTGGTTTCAATGTGTCAAGGTAACTTTTGACGGGGCTTGTCAGTCATGTGGGTAACTCTACATCCTCCAATTGCACCATCTGCAAATTTTGTAAGTAACAATAAGTGTCATTAAGTGAGTGGGGCAGTGAAGCACTTGACAAGTTGATGCAGCGCCTTGGGATCGAGTTGTAAACAACTCCTCCTTTTTCACCCTTTGTGCTAGGTTGTCACTTCCTCCTTGGTGGTTGAAAGAAATAAGAAAAAGCACTTGAGTATAGCAATAGATTGTCACAATTGCTATAGTCCAAATTCACTGTGTTCTATGCTCAGCTGAATTGTTGTTACCTACTTTGGTCTGACCAAATTGCAGGCATGGGCTCCTTCCACTTCCAGTGCATTAGAAAAACTGAAGGGAAGTCCCTGTACCAGGTCATTCCTGAAAGATTTCTGAGATTATACCCTGCACACCGTCTTATCCCATTGTGCTTTATGTCGATGCCACGTCAGAAAAACAGGGCTGATCTTAGAGTCAATACAGAACAGAAATATGCAGCTGGTATGCTAACTCTAGCCTCACATGAAAATTCCCTCCGTCATGAAACTTCACTCCAAGAGTTCTCGCAAGAAAATTCAGTCCTACTACTCCTGAATGTCCCAGTCTGCCTGTGATTGTTCCCCAGTCTTTCTGGAAAGCAGAGCCACATGATGCCATCTTTGTTTCTTGCCAGGACCTGCTGATAACATCAGCTTTCTCTAGGACAGACAGGTGGGGTCCCTGCTGTTCCTTCCTGGAGAAGGGAAGTGAAGGGGCAGACCTGTGGAGCATGAAGGACTTTGGGCAGAATCACAAAGCCCGGAGAGCACAGCCACAAACTGAGAATCCCATTTTAGATGTGTGTGGGAGGAAGATGGGGGTGGTATACAGTGACCAACAATATTCTTAACTTGTAAGAGACGAGAACATAGTAGACATATGTGCTTGGGTGAAGTATGATAAACTGAGCACCAAAGACTGTTAAAAGGAACATGGCTGCTTAGCTCATTCCATTACCAATGATTCACTGATTTGTTCATTCAGTTCTCAGCCATTCATTCATTCACTCACTCTACAGTCATGTTTGTGTACCTACCATATCCCTAGAGAGGAGGCAGGGAAAATCCAAGGATGTGAATTCCATCCCCCTCTTCATGGTAAGAGCTAAAGGAATTTATCTTCTAGATGCTCCTTCTACTTTTTCTCTCTCCTACACACACTTGGCAAAGGGTTCATTTCTTATAATTTGCCTGAGCTTTACTCATCCACTTTGCAGAGCTCTGGAAACATTATCCAGAGTAACGCTTAAAAAATAATAATGATAATAATAGATAACACTTACTGACTGCTTTTTATATGTCAAGCAATGTTCTAGGCATTTTATTTTTTTTTACTTTTACTTATTACTTTTTATTAAGATTATGATAGTTTACAACCTTGTGAAATTTCAGTTGCACATTATTGTTTGTCATTCGTGTTGTAGGTGCGCCACTTCACCATTTGTGCCCACTCCCCCACCCCTCTTACCTCTGGTAACCACCAATCAGTTCTCTTTGTCTACATATTTAACTTCCACATATAAGTGGAGTCATACTAAGTTCATCTGTCTCTATCTGGCTTACTTCACTT